TAGTGTACAAGGTTGTCAAATCTGCTGGATCATTTCCACGCGTTCTCGCGCAAACAGAACCATATATATGAAGTCACGCGCTCGCGCCAGTAGCTTGATAGGCGGGCCGCTTTTGTTTTCCTCACTATCTATGGGTAGTGTACGTGCTACCCACGCGCTTATGCTTTAAGTTTCTTAGTGCATACAAGCTTGGCATTGCACGTGCAAGCAACAGCAGAAGTTGAAATATCCTCACTTTGGGCTGTGAAAAAAAAAAAAAAAACAATTACCAGGCGGCTATACCCAAACTTCTCGCCGCAAATACTATAATGTGTTTCACCTTATGATGTACCGCAGGGAAGGCTACAAGCGCGATCTCCTTGCTTTGGGGAACATCTCGGCGGCTCAAGCTTTCGTGCATTAAGTGCAGCAGCCAAACCTACGAGCTCGCGCTTCTAGCCTTCGCTGCGGTACAACATAAGGTGAAACGGAGTATAAGTATGAACCGGAATATAGAGGGTATTATAGATGGTATTGCTGCTGTACACCTTTCCATACAAGCGTATGAGGGTGTGCTGATTTCTGTGCTTGTGTGTTATGCACGCGCACCTTCTGGCTGGTCGCAAATATGCCTTTTGCCGAATTACCGAAGCATCAAAAAGAATGCCGGGAACGTAGGTATGCGCTTGCGCGTGCTGGCGTCTTCAGTTCCAACTGTTCGAACGGCAAAAATCTAAAACAAATGGCACTTCGCACGCGTTCCACGGACGCTTTATTTTGGTTATTTACTTCGAATCTTTTCTATAGGGAAGGCAAGCACGTGCAGCGCAAGTACCTACGTTCCCAACATCCCCTTTGATGCTTGGGTAATTTAGCGAAAGGTCTATTGCGAGCGAACGCTGGCTGGACTGCGATTTAGCACGTGTAAACTGTGACTTTTGTAAACAGTGGAAACATGCATACTTGGGGACAACTTGGCTTGACAAATGAGGCCAAAGCTATGGGTATACCCACGCGCTCGTGCACATTGATCGCCGATCACAGCTGTGCTCGAAGGGTCCTCACTCCTTCGGAAAAGCCAAAAAAAAAAAAAAAAAAAGTTGTCCTCGAGTTTAGCGGCATTTGGTAGATCGCTCGCAAGAGACAAGCGCTTTGCGTTGCTAGCGGGAGCTCGTGCCGTCACATTGAGCACAGATTAAAGGGACACTGACAGCGTATTTATGCTCGCCGAGGTTTTTAGTTGTACGTGACATATGAGAGCTCAACTACCCATAACAGAATTTGCGGCTCGAAATTCGGTTTCTTTCCGCCCGAAAACCGCCGATCAAGAACTGGCCGGTTCGAGTCTCGCTCACTCTCTTTTTCACGGTCACGGGCCGTTTTCTAAGGTGTCGATGCGACCACCAAATTTAATCAAAGTCGTGGGTCACTGAAGGCACACACTCAATATTAAAAATAGAAAAAAAAATATGAAACCCATTTTTTGTGGCTTCTAAAAAGCTGTAAATACGTTGATTGAAAAAAAAAAGTTCCACAGACAACCGGAAGCATTCTGTGCGTTCGTCGTTTCGCGTATCGTGGGACTCGCGGGGACGGCGACAGCAGCGGACGACGGGCGTGGGACCTCTATTTCAGAACTGTCGTTCGCGGTACCGGCGAATTCTGTCTACCGTTAAAAAAGAAATTTGGGACTGATCAAAAGAATTGGTATTCATCCCGTACGACACGCCCGGCCACCAAGCCGATTTGCACGAAGACGTCGCCGAGCCGTCGCTCCCTTCTCGTGGCTGAAGACATCGCTCGCGCAAACGTCAAGCACGACGTGTCTACTTCGAGTTGAATATGCACGCGTACGATTTCTTTACTAGGTGCGAATGTCCCCAAAGCGTGGTGCTTCCCGACTTCGACCCGGGAGTGCTTTTGTTAGAGAAAAATCGGCAGCAAACTTTCCAACTTACAGTTTGCCGGCTGAATTATTACTAGGGAAAGAGATTCACCAGAAACGAGATGCTCCAGTGGCTCAGTGGGAAAGACGTCCGGTACACACGCGGAAGGACCAAGTTATCCCCCGTGAAACTCTATTTTTTTTTTTTCAAACATTTTTTGATGTTTACATATCTTTTTCTTTTTTTTTGCAATCATCACTGAAGAAACAAACAAATGTTGTGGACGATACTTCGCTGAATTAAATGGTATGGGATTTCCGTTTTGACACCTGCGAACTAAATGTAATCAATTTCCACAAAATGCAAGGAGCATATAAATCAGGTAGCGTCCGCTTTCCGAGGTGTCCGTATATGTTCTACAGGAACTGCAGCCAGCCATTGGTCCCGATCCCGTTGATCTTTCGGAAACTCTGTCGCACAATGCCACTTTTTTTCGGATGCAGGACATGTGAGCCAGCTCTTCCCGCAACATCTTGAATGTATTCTTTTCGGAGCCGATCATGGAAATTCACCATGGGCACTCACTACTCATCTCCAACTCCTCAATGTACAAAACAACTCATCTTGGAGTACAGAACAACGAGCGGAACAAACATAACTGCAAAAGAATCGCACGGCGAGCATTTCCCGCACGCCGCATCGCACGCCGCATGTCGTGTCGTCTGCTACGGAGAGGAGAAAAAAAAAAAAACGCGCGGTCGGGTGTAGTTACGTGACTTCCGCCACTCCACTCTCTTCTCTCCACTTCTCCGACCTCCGTCGGGTTTGGGTTTCGGTTTCGAGCAGTTGCGTCTTTTGGCTTTATTAAAAAAATACGCTACTCTGTTGCAAAATATTAATTGCGTAGTCCTCCGACACCATAATAAAGCGCGTGGCAAAAAATAAAAAAAAGTTTTGAGGGGGGTCCGCAGGGCCCCCCCAAAATTTTTCCGCAGGGCCCCCGATCCGCAGGGCCCCCGATCCGCAGCGTACGATCAATGAAAAGTTTCAAATGTCGACATCCCGTGGTCTGCGCAGTGATCAGAAGAGACGATTAAGAAGCACTCTGCGTTTATTGCAATGCGCTAACTATAGCTGTACCTTTTCTTTTCTTTTCTTTTTTTTTTTTGGGGGGGGGGGGGGTAAAATTTAAGATAACGCAAATATTTCGAATGTTGAGAGGCATGCTCTTTTCCAGTCAAACATGATCCTTGGTAGCACAGAAATTTCACAAGGCTTGTTTTTTCATGCGTTGTAATGTTATCGGAGTTTCAAGAAAGGAACATTTTTAGACAGTGGCAGGAAGATCGAGCTACGACGGCCTCAAGTAACATATTTGCTAAAGGTGTTATGTTATTACCCTTACTTTGAGCTGCTTAACGTTACTTTATGAAATTCGTAACGCTTGCAAAAGGAACGCAGAAATATCACAATAATGAATTCTTGGGTGTTCCATCAGGCAATGTCTAAAAACGCCTTAAAAGTCCAGACGAAAATCGGTCGTGAAACGTGATATCCACTGAAACATCTTTTATGTGTTTTAGGTACCTTAGACCACTAGAGTGTCAAAATGTAGTAATCAGCAGTGATACCTAATATGCGGAATATGGGTATATTAAGAAGTTGTTTTAGAATGAAGATCAAGAACTTTCAGTTAAATTTGAGACGTCAGTTAAACTGTCTGCACCTGGATTAATTTCCTTGCAACATGAATTAAATATGTGTACACAAAGAGAGAAATAAAGAGAGGAAAAGAGATAGAGAGAGAAAGGGAGAAAGAGAGAGAGAGGGATAACTAATAGACGTTGCATTTGGAGAGACTAGCTAAACGGGTGTACACTTGATTAAATTCGATGACACTTCGATTAAAAAGATAGCACTTGAATTATTATCAGCTCAAACTCCCCCCCCCCCCCCTCCTCACGCGTGTGCCCACACACACAAATACACACACGCACACACACTGCAGGAAAGGCAGTGCTTCTCAGTGCTTTTTTAGTCAATAACTTAGTGAGTCTACTTATTTATGTCTTGAGACGTGAATATATATGATTTATCCGCCTTTCATTTTCTGTGAAGTTCTTTCTGAATTCGTAATATTAACTTTCACCTGCAATGACCTCTGAGGTTTAATCAACAAATAGCTGACACACACACACACACACACTCTCTTTCTATCAGTATAGGGCTGGGCGTCGGTTAAACATTTTAACCCAATTAATCGCCACTCTTTGATCGATTAATTATTCGATTAATCGGTCACGTTCATTTCCACGCATATTTTAGGAAGCCAAAATTAATAATATTTATTTTTCATTCAATTTTTTTTTGTGCTTTTGTTGAATATGTGAAAAACGGCGGAACCTACAATTTTGATTAAGAACCAACCTGGAGGTATAGTTGAGAACTGTTCAAAGACGCTTCAGCCGCATTAGGCAAACAGGTTCGCTATGTTCTCTGGCAAGAGGGACCTCCTTTTGTTGTTTGCAATAATCTCTGCTGCGCTAAACAGTCACTCGCACGACGTTTAAGTGGCCGATATGCGTGTAACCTTCTGCACTTGTCTGGAGTTACATATGTTGCCCCGAAAGAATACTTTGGGCTAAAATCCCCTTCTTACCCTTCATACAGGTGTTGTCGTGAGGTCTGCGTGCTGAAAGCGTTTATTAGTTTCTTTTGGTTCGCCAACATTGTGCCGATTAACTGGTTAAAAATTAATTCCATAAAGCATTAATCGATTCATCGGTAGGTTAATCGGCCAATGGCCCAGCCCTACAAATCAACAAAACATCACCAAACCTTTTTTTAATGTATAAATGCATGAGAGGACGTAGTCAGCATTAGAAAGCGGTCACGAAAGCCCTACGCGCACAAGTCTGCGCGACAATCAGCGGGGGTACACTTGAAAACAATACGTCCGAAGCAGCAGCAGGAGCAGAGTGCCGATCGCCGCTCCAAAACGAGGGGATAAAAACCATCACGATATCGTCACGTGCCGTCCAGCGCTCGCGCCTCCTCCCATCCCCCAATCTTCCCCCCTCCTCCCCTCTTTCCCCCTTTTACCCTCCCCCACACCGCTTCGTCGCATGCTAGGCTGTCTTGCGGGATCTTTAGATTGGACGCGGATATCTGACGAACAGCGTCGTGCGTGCCCCGGCAACCGCTTTCGTTCCTTTTTTTCATCGAGGACGTGTCTTCAGCATCAATGTCCTCAAGGCTTCGAGTACCAGGACGGGATGTGTCTTCGCCGTAATAGTTGAAAGAGGTGTCTTTTTTTTTATTGGTGTGAAACATGTTGCGGGACAGGATGGCTGGCGGGGACCGTGTGTGCCAGGCGAATACCGAATTGGTTCCTCTGAAGATTGTGCTGTTCTTATGGTACGGAGGTGAGTCATCCGGTTGTCCATGTGGTGGCACAGCCCGCTTTGAGCGATGCCCGAGTTGTGAGATTTTTTTTTTTTCGCTCGTAAAATATTTGGCGCATCGAGTATTAAACTTGGTTTAATGAAGTTTTAGTAATGTGATTCCATCAAAAAGCAGCATGCTCATACATTATACTCGTAACGATGTCGCCTTAGCAATAGTTCACCTTACCTTATTGCTCGACAGGTTGTGCGATTCCTTTTTTTTTCTTTTACTCTTTTAATTTGGTATAGACCATATCCCCGGTGTGCCTCACAGTTTGTTTTATGCAATCATGCTATTGCACAAAGCAAAAAAAAAAAAAAAAAAAAAAAAAGAATAAACCTTACTTATAAGGTTACCTCAGTATTTCACTGTAACGGGGCATTTTTGTTTAACATACTTTCAGAGGGACACAATTGTATGCTTCATTGCCTCTATTTAAAAAAAAAATATATATATATTTTTTGCAGAGTTTTTTGTGACATAGCCATATATAATTTTATTGTGTTTGTAGAGTTCCTTTTTTGCATCATCATATTATTTTCAACGATTCATTTGCATAGAGCCATCATCTGTAGCTACTGTTTTTCCCAAAAGCTAGAAAACTTGGAACAAACTATGATGCGTCCTCTTGTTCGGTCAAATTTGTTGTTAGGTGTTCAGACAGCGAGAAGTTAATATTTCAGAGTTTTGGCGACACTGTTACGAGCTGTACATTAAAAACAATTGCCAATGCAGTACGATGATCACCCAGGGATCTGTAATGCAGTAGTGATGAATAACCTCACTCCAGAATGACGCTCATCCAGACAGAAAGGACAGGAGTGGGGATTGAACCCAAGATGCCAAAATTCGCTCTCCCGAAAGTTAAACAAAAAATTAAGTTTAGAATAGGATTCGTAAGAGTCCTTGTGCCCACACAATACTGTATTTGTGTTTTCTTAAAATGCCGACAATAGATGATCGGTACTGCTTGACGCGATTTGAGGCGAGTGATGGCGATGCTTCGTTTCCAGGAAGCCATCGCCTTTTCCAAGGCCCATAAACATGCCCCCTCCTTCGCTTTCCTTAACTCAAAGATATTAAACGAACCTTAGAGTAATTCGTTTTTCACACAGCGCGTGCCTTCACCGGCGTAAAAGGGGTCGACGTTTTCTTTGGCATTGCCCCCCCCAGAAGACCCCTGTAGCTTTTGAAACTCGATGCGCCACACCTTTCCCACATTCCCATCTATTTCTGGTTTAAACTAGGATTTTGAATGCGTTCGGCGACACCCTCCTTCTCCCCCCTCCCTTCTCTTAAAATTTAACAGCGCGTAATTATGAAGACTGCATAGACTGTGTGCCTAATGCAAATGAAGCTGTCTACAGTCGGTGACAGATTAACAACCCGGCAGTGGCTCCGCCTCCAGCTTGCGTTCGTTGCCTTCCTCTGGGCTTTGACTGCGGGCGCGACGAAGTGTTATCAAAGGCAGAACGCTCGCGCTCGAGGAGGAGCATCTAATCGACTACAGTCGTTGGGGGGCGATCGGTGACCGAGTGAGTTACCGCACCGCAGCTCGGAGCACGGTGAGTGATAGCTCGCGCTGCAGAACCCATGGGACCCTGGGTTCAATCCCCAAGCCTGCCCATTTTGATGTGGACGAGCGCCGTGCCAGCGTGCGGTCAAGTATAACCACCGACGCGTGATGCACGTTAAAGACTCCAGGATAGCGGTCGTACAGCACTGGCAAAATTCCTCATCTATAGAGCAGTGATTAACTCCCCGTTGTCTGAACATGCACACAACAGAATTCCTTTTTGTCTGGTCGTTGTTGCCGTCGTCGCGAATCAGTGATTGGGACCCACCTCGAGCAGAAATAATGAAGTGCGCAGTTCGGTTATTTTTGGACGCACAAACTGCGTAATTGTCCATCAAATATTCGGCGCCATCATCGAAACGACGACACGCTCAAATGGTTCCATTCCCGTGACATATGCCAAGACAGTATAGGAGCAGGGTTCGGTTTATGGATATAAACCATTAGCACCGACATCTCGGAATTCCAGTTTGTTGAATTTGTCGGTCGCTAAGGGCCGCGCGACATGTGGTCCATTAAAATCGCCCAGAGGATTGCGCGTCGCGTGTTCCTGAAGTTCTTTGACCAGATCCGGTAAAGCCTTCTTTAAAACAGAGACAACCGTGTCGTATTTGTTCCGTGTGCCGTTTGGTGAGAGCATTGAGGGTGAGTGTTATGGAGCGATTTGAAGATGAACCAATCAAGTGAACTTCGTTATTGATTTGAAATGATCAGCGAAAGGACGACCGACCAATTAAAAAGAAAGCAGAAAATTCCTCGGGGAATTTTCTGCTCATCAATCCAGTTCAGATCGTGTTAACGTTTTGATTACACCATCTAGACTGAATCGGGAAACTGAGATGTTTAATGTTACAGTTTTACGATCGATCTGCCGTTAGCAATTGCCCGTAAAAGTGTCAATATTTGCATCTCTATAGAAGACGCAGCTTTTTATTTTTTAAATATTACCTGAATTTTACGGGTGGAGTTATTATTAAAGGTAAACATACTTGACCAGGCCTTATAAGTTTATGGCACCGTCTAAAAGTACCGCATATGACTTGTTTTGTTTACCTGAGCTGCTATCACGCGTGGCTGCTGACGCCAGTGTGAATGAACGAAAGCCCAGTGTTTGTGTCTCCACAAACCGGGTTTCGCAATAGCTTGAATGAAAGCGGAAATGGATACGCCAATAAAAAAAAAAAAAAAAATCATCTAGCGGCGGTCATATAAAATGTAGATAAAAGTAAAACAGCTCCTCTGATAATGGGAACAGGAGCAGCTGGGGGTAGGGACTGTATAGATTGCGAAAAGCACGATGGCGGAACAGGCGTGGGAATGAACGAAAAGAAAATAACGTCCACAAAATGTCTTTCTAACAAAGTGATTACCACCGCAGTTTATTGCCCGATGACCCCTTGGAGTCGATATTTGCTAATGAACTCTTATTGGTTCCTTTATACAAGAAAGGAGACCACAGTAAGGACGAGGGACCTCCAATTAGGGTTACCCTGATTTGTTAGTTTAGGGTTGAGACTATGTGTGGCGCAAGTTCGTCTGCATCCCGCGTAGGGGGTTTCGGTGACGTCATAGCACCGAGCTCTGGTGGGCTCTGATTGAAAGTTTGTGAGCAGACCACAATGATGGTTGTCTTCAGGTCTACCCACTGTTCTTCCCATCGAGCCAATCAGAGCCCGCGTCGTTCTGACGTCACCTTGAGCCCCGAGCAAGAAGCAGACGAACTCGCGCTCCGCACATGTCAACAAGTGGTTAGGAAACGCGGGGTGTGGCGAATTTCGTATCCCTCTGCAGCGAATCAGATTGCGGCGTCTTCCAATAAGATCGCCGAATGACCAATGACAAAGCAGGGGGCTCGAATTATATTAAGCCACGCCCATCATTTCTTAAAATGTCGGTAACTATGCGCGTCAAACGGTTTCTCAAGAAAAAAAAAAGCGACCTTTTTGCACAGTTTACTGAGCAACAAACGGACTTTTTAAATAAATAAAAAAAAAAAATTAAAAAAAAGAACCAGCGTCTTATACACTGTTTTGGGATCAACGCCTAGAACATTGGGAAAGCCGCCAGACGCTCATTTCCTGAATGAAGCCGCTGACTTCCGGTGGTTTCACGCACGCGTGCTCGATGCGCCGTTCAGCCTCCTCCTAGTGGAGATGAGTGGCCTAACGCTAACCATTTTTTGATGAAAGCGTTGAACCTCTCGTATTCTCTCGTCTTCTCGCTAATCGCTCGCTATCACTATCCGCTCTTAATGATATTCGTTATTTCACACACGTTAAATATCGTCTTTATCGCTGGTATTAACGAGTTGTTGTCGTCCTTCTAAAATTATGAATGAGAGGATAATCATAACCCATAAAACGTTTCATTTTTGATTGGCTAATCAAAGAAGTGTATACCATATAGCAAACAACAACCAGATTGATCAAAGGCTGTGAGCAACCTTCTTTCACGTGAAGTCATCGTGCTATAGGATGGCGTCAACTCAGCAATTGGACCCGAGCCCGACTGCAAGTATTCTTCGACGCGTTGATTGGACGCGAGGCCCAGCCGAAAACTTACGCAGTGTTCGTGACCAATCTGCGTCTTCACTACGATCTTTTTGTGATAACGTTTAGATGTATACTGCGCGGGTTTTGATTATTCTAGGAGGTGTTGACATAACACGCAATGCATGATATCAGAAGTTTCTAAGATCATCTTAGGATATACTTACGCCGTGAGAATCAGTCGAAGTCTGACCTCCCCACCGTCGAAGATGCATCGATTTGTGAGCCCCTTCATTGGGAATGTTTAACGTGAGACAGAGACATCGAGGCACTCTTATAGTAATCACAATGGGGTGCCTCGATGCCTGCCTGTCTCACGTGAGTCGATCTTCTTGAAGCGAAGGGAATACCCGAACGTCTTCCTTACTCAATAATAAAGAAAATAATCCTTTATTCTCAAGGCTTGATAACGGAGATTCCCAAGCGTCATCTTGAGTAGTGGAGAAAGGTGAGGCTTTATTTGACTTTAAGACTTGAGATCTGCGTGCAGTACGTTTTCTTTTTTACATTTTCATTCGCACATCTATTTACTAATTAAATATATTTTTTCACTTGTTAATGATCCTTTCAAATTACTTTGAAACGGAACCTCGTGGGGTGGTGACGGCCGACGTTTCGTTTTACCTACGTCAGGGTTTTGACAAAGCACTAAGCTACCTCAAAGTAGAAGACGCCGCTTCACTAAGATAAATAACTTCTCTAAAAAGTAAAATAAATAAATAAATAAAGCTGTTTTAAGTCTTTTAATATTCTCAAGAAGCTAACTGGCTTCTTTAGAAATACGAACTTAAAATTCTTAGCGAAACGTCGGCTGCAAAAATTAGGTTCTTCGAAGCACTAAGTTCTTCCTCGA